CGGGCTTATAGCCTATGAAGTTAAATGGGCCACTGTTTTTCGTCATAGCCTAGGGATTATTAATTATTTGGGCATCACAAAAATACCCAACAGATCTAAAAGCCCAAATATCATAAATAAAACGATTTGAGCAATGAATGCAAACTAGATGATGTTTTGTGCCAGTTATCCTTGAAAATGTACAAGTACTTAGAAATAAAATAAGAATTATAACTCTATTTTTTGCTAAGCTTAAAAAATAGTAATCACTTTATCTTGTCCATAAACATGTGGATAATTTTCTTTTAAGTCAAAATAAGTTAAATTTTCTTGAAAATATGCTTAAAGTTTCTTGTGGTTGAAGCCGAATCAGATTAGCCAAGCTCTTAAATACACATTATATACAACTCATGAACTGAGAATCAGATGAAACAAATCGTTCCAACAAAAACAAAATTCAGGGTAAAAGAAAAAAAAAAGAAACAGAGAGAATCAAACTGAAATTTACAAAAATGAGGAAAACTTTGCTTCAACTTCCTCGATTGAATTGATCTCATTCAGGTATACTTTGCAGGGCCGGTGTCCATGAGCGATGATGGGACNACTTCCTCGATTGAATTGATCTCATTCAGGTATACTTTGCTGGGCCGGGGTCCATGAGCGATGATGGGACTCAAATCGACCTCTGTCGTTCATCAGTTGGGCCAGAATTTGATGCGCTGATAATCCTTGAATGTCGGCCTTGATTAACATTTCTTCAAGTTGCTTCTTCGTGATTTTAATTTTCACCTCTTTTCCAAGTGCAGAAGAGACTTTACGAAGACTATTCTCTTCAATATTCATCGGCTGGGTTTCAGTTTTGTGATCCGAAAATGGAGTTTCGGAGCCCCAATTTTCACCACCCCATTGTGTAGAGGATTCCTTTCTTATACAATTTCCCATAGATACCAATGCCTGTTTTTGTGAACTTGTGTGTGTATATGTTGTATCTATAGATTTGAGAGAAGGGTTTGATTGAAGAGAGCTTGGTGTAATATATAGGATGGG